ACACACACACACACACACACACATGTTTGGCTCAAGCCTGGGAGACTGGGGGTCCACTTGAGGTAGTGGCTTGGTCTATTATTAGTATCTTCCTTTGGTGCTATTTTGTGATATTTATTAACTAAAAGCAGTCTTGTCCTGTTGGATTGGGTGTGGGGTATCTTGCTTGCCATTGGCAGAATAATGGATAGAAGTCAAAGACTTGCCGCCATCACTCTATCCCATTATCCTGTTTTATTTTCTTCCCAGCCCTTATTACTATATAAAATTCTCACATTTATTTATTTATTTACATGTGTGCTGACTTTGCTCTCTGCTATATCCCCAGCTAGGACAATGGAGCCGCATCTGGCATTTCCTAAGTTCTCAGTATTTTTGGAATGAATGACTCATAAAATAGCATCATTCCAGGAGCCCTTCTGCTACAGGGTGTGAATGCTCTGAAGAACACTGCAGTCTGACACCTCCTGTGCCCTCTGGGAGACATTTGATTTTTGGTGCTGCCAAATAGGAGTATTTATTGTGTATGTATTTTCTGCCTCCGCATTTCTGGTTCCTACCCCCTCTGTCTTTTCCATGGAAGTGGTCATTCTGATCTCATTTTTCTCTGGGCCCAGTTCTGTTATTGCACTTATATCATTGATGCCTGTCACCTCCTGATAGATTTTAATCTCCTTAACAATAGTGGTTTTGTTTTCCATGTCTTAGGATCACCATGCACCAAGCACGTGAGAAACAATAATAAATGTATGTTGCATGAAGTAATTAAGTGCCTATGAAAAACTTTCTGCATAATGTGGTAGGGGTAGGTGATGGTGAAGAGGTTATAAAATAAGTCAATCAGCATAGGCTTCCCGAGTACCTCGAGCTCCGTGAGGGATGCAAAGGCTTCCCTGCTCAGGGGAAGGAGAAATGCATAGATCAGGTGGTTAGGAAATCCCTCGTGAAAGAGATGGAAGGTGAATAAGACCCTGATGAGTGGGTAGACTAAGTAGGTAGGAGGAAATAGGCAGAGTCAGGGAATCTAAAGGTTGGGTGTATAGAGGGAAGAAAGGTGCAAGATATGTTAAGTGATTGCAATTACACTAATCTGTTTGCAATAGAGATTCCAGGTGGGGCATTACGTAGAGCTAAAGTTAGGAAGGTGGGTTAGGTTCAGATCGAGGGAACTTGGTGCTGGCCTGTGTCAGAGTTCTGCCCTATAGACAGTGGGAACCACTAAAATAGAACATCCAGAGATATTCTTTGCTTTATATATAGATAAGAAATTGCTCTTATTCAAGATTTGTGTTTTCTTTACATTGGAATCAGAAGGCTCTTGCCACATATTGGTTAAAAGAGAAATACCAGTTAGGGCAGTCACTCTTGTTGGGAAGACACTTCTGTATTATCTAAGCATTCAGTCCTGCCCATACTCTTCATCCTTGTGGATGCTAAAGCTAAAGTGATGGATCTCTTGGCTTTCATTATAAGCCCACCTGTTCCCTCAGGAAGAAGAGGGGGGTGGGCATGAATAGGGAGTCCTGCTTGTCCTTGGTCACAAGTTTAACCTGTCCCAGTCGGAACAGCTTGCTTGCTAGTCCCGGTGTACAGTAATCATCCTGGGATCTGCCTTCAGTATAATCTCAAATGTTCTCTTCCCCCTCCCCCATGTTGGCTCTCCTTAGCCCATTTCTTTTTTTTTTTTTTTTAGATTTTTTAAAATTTATTTGACAGAGAGACAGCGAGAGTGGGAACACAAGCAGGAAGAGTGGGAAAGGGAGAAGCAGGCTTCCCGCTGAGCAGAGAGCCTGATGCGGGACTCGATCCCAGGACCCTGAGCTGAAGGCGGATGCTTAACGACTGAGTCACCCAGGCGCCCCTCCTTAGCCCATTTCTTATGTGTACCCCTTTCCTGTCTGACTGCCTTGTTTAGTGGAGCCCATCTTCCAGCAGGATTTTGGAAATATAATCACATTTTGCTTTGGAAGACACTCTTAAGAGCAAATAGTTATTTAAAACATACATATTTGGCAGGGACGATTCTATTTTTTTAAATTTTATTATTGAAATATAGTTGCTATACAATGTTTTATTTGTTTCAGATGTACAAACATAGTGATTGGAAAATTCTATACATTACTCAGTGCTCACTGCAAGTGAGGTTACCATCTGCCACCACACAACATCATTAAATATTATTGACTATATTCCCCATTCTGTATTGTTCATCCCCATGTCTTATTTATTTTATTACTGGAAGTTTGTACGTCTTAATCCCTTTCACTTATTTCTCCCACCACCATCCCTCCATCCCTCTGGCAACTATCAGTTTGTTCTCTGTGTTTATGAGCCTGTTTCAGTTTTTTTGTTAATTTGTTTTGTTTCTTAGATTCCACATATAAATTAAGTCATATTCTATTCGTCTTTTTTGTCTGACTTATTTCACTTAGCGTAATACCTTCTAGGTCCATCCGTGTTGTCACAATGGCAAGATCTCATTCTTTTTTATGGCTGAGCAATATATATATAAAACATCTTCATCCATTCATCTATCAGTGGATACGGGTTGCTTCCATATCTTGGCTATTGTAAATAATGCTTTAATAAGCATGGGGGTGCATATATCTTTTTGAATTAGTACTTTTGCTTTCTTTGGGTTAATACCCAATAGTGGAATTATGGATCATATAGTATTTCTATTTTTAATTTTTTGAGGACCCCACCCATACTGTTTTCCACAGTGGCTGCACCGATTTACATTCCTACCAACAG